GGGTTTAGGGGTTTAGGGTTTAGGGCTTAAGGGGTCCAGGGGTTTAGGGTTTAGGGTTTAGGGTTTAGGGGTTTAGGGGTTTAGGGGTTAGGGGTTTAGGGTTTAGGGTTTAGGGGTTGAGGGTTTAAGGGTTAAGGGTTTTGGGTTTAAGGGTTTAGGGTTTAGGGTTTAGGGGTTGAGGGTTTAAGGGTTTAGGGTTTAAGGTGTAACGTTGAGGGTTTAGGGTTTAGGGTTTAAGGGTTTAGGGTTGAGGGTTTAAGGGTTTAGTGTTTAAGGTTTAGGGTGGCATCTTGCAGAAGGATCACTCCTGTTTGCATCGGCGCTGCGCCCAGGGTTCAGGCTGTTTGGGGTGTTGTAGGGCTTCGGTTTGTAGATTTTTTGTGGGCTCAACAACCCTAATACCTCAACCCTAAACCCTAGACCGCCAAACCCTAAACCCAAAGCCCTAAACCCTAAACCCTAAACCCCAAACCCTAAACTCTGAGACTCAAAGTCCTAAACCCTAAACCCTGAAACCCAAAGTCCTAAACCCTAAACCCTAAACCCCAAACGTTAAACCCCAAAGGAGCTCTTGGGTGCTTTTCGCTCGGACTTCTTCAACCCCGAAGCTTTTATCCTGGAACCTTTTTCCTTAAACCCTGAATTTAGGGTTTAGGGTTTAGGACTTTGGGTTTCAGGGTTTAGGGTTTAGGACTTTGAGTTTCAGAGTTTAGGGTTTGGGGTTCCAGTGGTCCTAACCCCCCCTAAACCCTAAACCCTAAACCCTAAACCCTAAACGCTAAACCCTAAACCCTAAACCCTAAACCCTAAACCGACGCATACTCCCAAGGCTTAAAGTCTCAGGGAACGCTTGATTCCTCAGCCCCTGCACTCTGTGCCCGGTGGAGGTCGCAGCAGGTTTTACGGTTTAGGGTTTAGGGTTTAGGGTATAGGCTTCAGGGCAGCTCAGGGTTTATCAAGGAGTTTAGGGGTTTGGGGTTTAGTCTAGGACATTTTCAGGTGGGTAGTTACCGTTATAGGAGCCTTATAGAAGGCCTATATACCTTCTGGAAGCCTTATAGAAGCCCCATGTACCCTACACTCCACCCTAAACCCTAAACCCTAAACCCTAAACCCTAAACCCTAAACCCTAAACCCTAAACTTTAACTTAGGGACAGCAAGGCCTCCAATCTGCATCGCTGCATCGAGCCTCTCAGACCTGAGCCCTAGACCAAACCTCCCCTTAAACCGAGGTTTAGGGTTTAGGGTTTAGGGTTTAGGGTTTAGGGTTTAGGGTTTAGGGTAACTTAAAGCCCGAAACGCCTTAGCCGTAAAACCAGAACCCGAAATCGTGCCCCAACCCATCTCCATAGCACTCGCAGTCCTTGCAGACCGTCCTTTGCAATGTAGACGTGTCATGACCAGGAACTGGTCCCCTAAACCCTAAACCCTAAACGCCTTTCTTGGGCCGGGATAGCTGCCCCTCTACGACTCTGCCACCCTCTCTCATCCTTCGAAACACAGTGGGGTTTAGGGTTTAGGGTTTAGGGTTTAGGGTTTGGGGTTTAGGGTTTTGGGTTTGAGCAACCAAGTCTCAGAGTCATGTCGCTTGCGTTTGCTGCAAGACTGCAGCCGTGCTGAGGCCAGTGCTCGTCCCTCTTGCACTGGGACGAGGCTCTGCGCTATGTTTCATGGCACACAACTTCGCACAGACAGCCGCTCAAATTCAAGCGCTAGAGGGTTGGGTGCGAAAGTGTGCTTTAGCTGCGTGAGTTTGTCGGTTCGACGAATCACGAGAGGCTGGCAGCGCAGCCATCCCATTCCAAGACCGGTGATTTCAGAGTATTTCACAGTAGCAGAGCTCCGTGCCCTCTCCATGGCACTGTTTGGGATGCTTTGGATCGCGCTTTCGAGTTTGTGGGTAAGTGCAGAGGACGCCCAGCCGTGCCCCAAGGGCTACTACTGCCCAGAGCAGACTCGCGCCTGGGACCAGCCATCAAGCTTTGCCCGGGAGTTTCAGACGAGAAGAGACCATAACCTAGACTTCGTCCCTGGATGGTAGGATCTTGACTTCAGACCTTCAGCGTCAAAACCTCGATTTCGCTCCCACGTTGTGCTGTTCAATGTTATTCTCGAAATTGCAGTTCTCTTTCTCTTCCCCTGAAGGTCAGCCGGCTCTGTGCCCAGTGCGCCACTACTGCCCGGAAGGCAGCACCGAGCCTTTGCCCTGTCCGCCCGCACACGTCTGCAAGGGCCAGGACCTGGAGGCCTTGCCTTACGGAACGTGGCGAGACTTGGCGGTGCCCCTGGCTGCAGGGGATGGCCACACAGTGGTTGTCTCCAACTTGGGCCAAATCTGGGCAGCAGGCGACAACAGCAACGGCCAGCTGGGCACCGGTAGCACTCTGGGGCAACAGGCTTTTGTGCACGTAGAAGCTGTTGGCCACAAAATCGTGGCCGTGTCTGCTGGATATATGCACACCGCTGCCATCACGGACTCTGGCGAGCTGTGGACATGGGGCGGCAATTCTTGGGGCCAGCTTGGCGTTGGGGACACCACGGATCGCCATGCCCCGGTCAAGGTCAGCGTGAACGGCCAGAAGATCGTGGCCGTGGCTGCTGGATTTTGGCACACCGCTGCCATCACGGACTCTGGCGAGCTGTGGACGTGGGGCCGCAATTTTTATGGCCAGCTTGGCGTTGGGGACACCAAGGATCGCCATACCCCGGTCAAGGTGAGCGTGAACGGCCAGAAGATCGTGGCCGTGGCTGCAGGAGATTGGCACACCGCTGCCATCACGGACTCTGGCGAGCTGTGGACCTGGGGCAGCAATAATCATGGCCAGCTTGGCGTTGGGGACATCAAGGATCGCCATGCCCCGGTCAAGGTGAGCGTGAACGGCGAGAAGATCGTGGCCATGGCTGCTGGATATATGCACACCGCTGCAAGCACGGACTCTGGCGAGGTGTGGACGTGGGGCCGCAATAATTATGGCCAGCTTGGCGTTGGTGGGGCCACCAAGGATCGCCGTTCTCCGGCGAAGGCGGCAAAGATGTGGTCTCCGGATGGCCGGGCGTCAAGTGCGCTTGGCGAGGCCTTCCTGGCTGCAACGTGGGGTTCGAAGATTCCGCAGCCCCGTCAGTGCAATGCGTTGTGCGGCCAGCTTGCTACTATTCAGCAGAAGTACCACGTGCAGGTGGGCGCTTGGGAGGCAACACCCTGCCCGGCGGGCTCCTTCTGCGCAAGGGAGCGGGTCGGACCCTCAGCCGGCTTGTTGGAAGAGGGAGGTGCGCAGCCATGCCCAGCGGGTTTCTTTTGCACCTCGCCTGAGCATGTTGCCACGGAGGAGTGTTTATTTTGATAAGGTTTTTCCACACCAGGCAGAAATAGCCTGGATCTTGTCCCAGCAATCTGGATGCTGAGCCGAGGTACCGAGGGCTCCACGGCACCGACACCTTGCAAAGCTGGCGTTTGGTGCCCCGCAGGCGCTCGGATGCCAGGCCCTGCTGAAGCCGGGTCGGCTGGTGGCACTCGAGGTGGCGACGGGCAGTCGGGTGGCAGCCCAGAGACTCGCGATTTGGTCCAGGACAGCTGCCAGATTAGGATTCGTTGGGAAACTAGTTGTCTTCGTCGGAGGAGGCAGTCGTCTCCTTCTCTTGCTGTTTTGCTTATTCGTTCGTGTTCAGCAGCAGGCCGCCAAGATGGATGAGCAGGGGAATGCCTTGAGTGCGCTACAAGCGAAAGTCGCAGAGCTGGAGAAGCAGCATCTGCACAAAATCGCGAAGTTGGAGCAACAGCTGCAGCAAGCAGCAGCACGACAGGGCACGAAGTCCCAAGACTACAAGAAGTTGGAGGATCATTTGCAGCAGGCATCAGCAAAGCAAGATATCCTTGAATCCCAAATCGGGAAGTTGGTGCAGCAGCAATCAGCATCAGAAGCGGACGTGAAAGTGTCTTTGCAATATATGAAGGCCTCAGTGCAAAACGTCGAGGCGAAGCTCCAAGTTTTCAAGTGGCAAGGCGACGCAGAGGGAGTTAACCAGAGCGCAGATCGTTGAGAAGCGAGCGACCAAAGGGGGAGAGAGAGACACAGACAGGTTTATGCACACATTTCTGCAGGGTGGCCATAAATTTAAATCATGCTTGCCCTTGATCCTACTTCTCTGTCTAGATGCTAGGTACTTGTCGACCTATGTTTTTACGCTCGTTCATGTGTGCGTACATACATACGTACATGCTTGCATACTTACCTACATGCATACATGCATACATG